ATGCTGAAAATGAATTAATTAGGCAAATTAGGCAATTAATATGTACTGGTATTACCATAAAAACTATCAGGTCTGTGCAGTGTCATATGACATCTAGGTACCAAGTTTCATTGAAATGTGATGATTAGTACTTGAGATATCAGTGGAGAAACCGAAAATTGACTAATCATTATGCAAATTAGGTAATTAGTATCCACGGATTATTACCAAAAACTAATCAAAACCAAGCATTAGTTCAGAGCATGTATGTACAAAGTTTCATCAAAATCCAATGAGTGGTTGTTTAGATATCAGTGGAACAATCATAGAACAGCTAAAAATCAGCTAATTATCATGCAAATTAGGTAATTAATATGCACGGATTTTACCAAAAACTAATCAAATCTGCGCATATGTTCAGAGCATCTATGTACCAAGTTTCATCAAAATCCAATGAGTGGTTCTTTAGATATCAGTGGAACAGTCATAGAACAGCTAAAAATTAGCTAATTATCATGCAAATTAGATAATTAACGGGCATGGATTTTTACCAAAACCTAATCAAATCTGTGCATTGGCCCAGAGCATCTATGCACCAAGTTTCATCAAAAACCGATGTATGGTTCTTGAGTTAGCAGTGGAACAGCCGGACACACATACACACATACACACACACATACATACATACACACACACACACACACACACACACACACACACACACACACACACACACACACACACACGGACACACTAACTGCAAAGACTCCCATTATGTGCTTCGCACATGGGAGTCAAAAACTCACATCAAGTATTAATGTGTGCACAACACAATCGTCACAGATATCAAATCTTTTCCAGGCACTAACATTTTTCAGTAGTAGCCAAATTGAACAATTAGTTTACAAATTATTGTAAAATACTTTATTTTCGCTCAGAATTAATTTTTGCTCAAGGAATTATTCAGTGAAAATAAAATGCAGCGAATATACTTTTTTCTCTACATTTTAACTCATCAAAAATCATCGCGAATAAATTACATACAAAATTCCCAAAAGTCTTTTCAGCGAAAATTAATTCCAGCTAAAATAAAGTATTTTACAGTATTTTGTTTTTTAATACACAAATTTGCCTCCATCACAAATTAAGCCAAAACATTAATTTATTTATATTATCACACTTCTGTAAGAATCCACTCAACCTCACGAAATATTACAATGACACTACCAACTATTTGGTAACTATGGTAACCTAGCTTACTTTCAGACAAATTTGTTAATTTCGATCCCTGGTCATCATCCCTGGTAATTCAAGTACATGTACTGTAAAATACTTTATTTTAGCTGGAATTAATTTTTGATTAAAAGACTTTTTAGGTGTTTTATATGAGATATATTTTCACTGAGTTTTATTGAATTGAATGTAAAATATAGGAAACAAGGTATATTCACTGGATTTTATTTTCACTGAATCATCCCTTCAGGGAAAATAATTTCCAAAAGAAAATGAATAATTTTAGAGTAATCTATTAGATAGTACAGACATTTAAATTCACTATTTTGAACATATTCACTGAGTGTAGGTTCATAAAATCGATGTGATTTGTGTTCTATTGTTCATCCGAATTTAATTTAGTCAATTTTACTTATCAACAAAAATATTTAAATTAAAACATCATGAATAATTAATGCGGTAGATTTACCTTTAGCTTCTACTATGTTGTTATTACCCACTTTGATGGCTTCACATCCTGAATGATTAGTTAAGGAAAACAATGGCTGTCAGTCGGCCATTTCAAGGCTCAGAAAAATCTGTGATGAGTTATGACATTGTTGTTGTGAATATTTAAATTTCAACAAAAAAGCCACCATAGTAGCATCATCTTCAATCAAACTACCATATGATTTGACATGGACATGTATTCACTTACCTTTTTTTATTTTACATTCAACTTGTCAAAAATCAGGGAAAATAAATTCCATACAAAATTTGATCCAATTGTGATACAAATTGCCACGAACATGTATCATTACATGCACAATAAGTACAAAGTTTTAATGAGACCATTTTTTCAAATAAAAAAAAATGGCCACGGGCCTGCCATCTCGGACTTGATCACAGAACAAATGGATGCGTATCAAAATATGTATCTACCTAATTTGATTGAAAACTGACAAAGCATGTCCAAGATAGTGCATTTGCAAAAAAAAAGATGGCTACCAGTCAGCCATTTTGGATCGAATCAGTAAACCAGTGCATTTGCATATATTCCATGTAAAGTAATAGGCACATGCAAAGAATGAACAGATTTGGTCCACAGGGTTCAAGAATATTGTGACATAAATTGTAAGTGAAAAGTACAGAGCCCTGGCTGTGTGAAATAAAAGCGCACATGTTTGGATACTTTGCAACAACCCATTGCACATGTTTATTTTTAAGACTGCTGATACAGTCACGGGAGTGTGTTGACAGCAGAAGTTGAGATACATACATCCTGTCTCTC